TTGGTTGAATTTAATTTTTTAAACAAACGTATTTATGTTTTTACCCTGTCAAGCATAATTCTTAACTCTTTTGATTAACGCAAATGATATATGTTTTTAAATAAAGGAATTAATTATTCAAGGATCAGAGAGTTTCCAACAAATTTGCTCAGCCTTGTTTGTTTGTTTCAGTGCAAAGCCATACATAGGGCTATCTGCGCTCTGTCCGCAGCAATGAATCAAACATTGTAAGTCCGTAATCTCGCCGCTGATCCACAGGGGAACTGCTGGGCTTTGGGGGTTACATAGGTGGTGGTATTTACTTTTGCTAAAAGCCAAGCATGTGTCCTTGATTATGCTTGTTAAAATAGTTCAGGATGTGGTTGTTTTAATGAGACCCCAGGTGGCTTAACGGTAAGTCAGAGAAGTTATAATGTTACAAACTGGGTTCAATAATCGCAGCTGGACACAGCATAGGCAACCCAATTTGTAACTTTGTGCTTAACAACAAACAAACATACAAAATGAATGAACTAATATTGTTACTCTGACATCTCGGTCCATAAATCACAGAATTATCTACTTGTTCTCATTAAACACTGGATATCAAACCAAAGACAATCAGTCATTTTAATTACTGCCCTAAAAATTTCATCATTTTTTTCAAAATACATACAATTAATTATACATATCTTACATACCGACATAAAATATGTCCAAAATCTATTTCGTTGTATTTCTCCCCCCCCCCTAGCAGTATAAAGTTTCATTACAGAGAATTATCGCCTTAAATTTCCGTGTTTGATGAGCTTCGTTGCTTGGACAATTAAAACCATCTAGATTATTTAGTTTCACAATAACAAGTATTATAACTTTATTATACTTTAACATTCCTCCGTACAATCTGTTTTGATAATTAGCAAAATATTTAAGAAAATCTTCGCTTCTGTGTAATATCATCTTCATCAGGATTCGGTTCATGTTTTGGGAGGGTCAGTTTCAGCGTAGGCCTCTTCCTCCCTACTCTGTACTATACTCATTGGTTTGGTTTCTTTTGAATTTCGCGCAAAGCTACACGAGGGATATCTACGTTAAACGTCCCTAATTTAGCAGTGTAAGACTAGAGGGAAATCTTGGGGTACTCTTTTACCAACGAATAGTGGGATTGACCGTCACATTATAACGCCCCACGGCTGAAAGGGCGAGCATGTTTGGTGGAACGGGGATTCGAACCGGCGACCCCAAGATTGCTAGTTGAGCGCCCTAACCACCTGGCCATGCCGGGCATACTCAGTGATAATAAATACTAAACAAATAACTTTTGATAAAACCAGAAACCTGTTTTCCGCGTATTTTTCGGAGATTTATTCTTTTATATATCACAGGGAATGTTATGTGCTATTACAATAAAGCTTTCCCTATTTCAAACCTCTAGAGAAGGTAAAGGAGAGAGTAAATTATATCATTCTGTTATAACCGTCACTGAGCTATATGGTTTCGTGAAATTGTAAACAAAAGCAGAAATTAATCCTTCGTCAAAACCTTATTTTCATACATTTATACAATTGTAATGAAGAATCAGTGCACTAGATGTTGAAATTAAAATCAAGAAGCCGAGATTTGGAGGGATAAACGTAAAATGTAGTTGCAGTTGTTGTTTAGACTTCATTACTACTTAGTGCACGTTGCAAGAAAACTTTGGCAGTGATAAAGGTTATTTCTCATATATTCCTTTATATGTGTACAAGTGTTAACTATTTAAAACATTTGTCCGTAGCCCGTCCTTCTAATAACCGTAAAATGTCATCAGTGTTAAACATCAGAAAATATGCAATTTGTTTGGTACTAAAGCTCTGAGAAGCTAATTTCTGTGTTCTTAGTGGTCTTAAAGCAACTTCCTATGCAATTTGTACCCTACATTTTAGAATGTTATGACAACATTGCATGATATATTTAACTTCTTAATACTCTAGTTTAATGTAGAAGTTTTAACACGAGTTTGTTTGTGTGTTGAAGCCCCCTACCTAATCTAAGACATTGTAAACTTCTCATTAATTACTTGATTCGCTATTATTCTTTCTAAATGTGAGTAAACGTAACTTCGATTTATTTAGATTTATTGATAAAACCTAAATGCTAAATAATAGGAACTTACTTGACCGGCCATTTTTAAAATCAACTAACTAACTACAAAATTTAAGATGCTTTGTTTTAATTATGAATAAATAAAAGTTATAAACAACTGATTGATATCGTATTTGGTAATTTATAGCTATAGTTGATTAAATGAATATCATTGATGTGTTTATAAACCATATATAATTGCATCGTTTGTTTTACACATAAGGTGCAGGATTAAAACAGTCTGTTCATTGGTTATAATGAAAGATTAGCCAGGAATGTCGAAGTTCGTCAAAATTATACGCGTGAAAAAATGCAATACTCTTGAGCCAGGATGTGGGTCATTGCTATAGAAACGAAAATACCTTGAATAAGCAGATGTTTTTTGACCAACAGTCCCAAGGCGATCGTAGTCAAGACAGTATTAAAAAAATATATAGCATCAACTGACTCTGCAGCTTCATTATAACATTTCTAGAGTTGTTGTTGTTGTTCTCAGTTAAGCACAAAACTACACAATGGGCTATCTGTGCTCTGCCCAACAAGGATATCTAGCGCTGTAAGTCCGCAGACATACCGATGTGCCACTGGGGGGCATTTCTAGAGCTAAACTCAGAAACATTGACATTCGATCAAGACGCAATGTTTTGTAAAAACAAACATTGTATCTAAAGAAGATTATGTGGAACTTTAAAATTATTCTAAAGTGGTATTGACGCTATGATATTTTCCGTCCACTAGAATGTTTTTTGTATTTTTTTTATTTTTTTACCTATTCAAATTGTGTCATTCCTTAATGACCACGGAGATAACAGAACAACTGCTTAAAGTGCTACCACTTCTACAGGTCCAATGTAGTCAATCTCAGTAGAGTACAAATTATGATCTGGAGAAACATCAAAGTGGGAGTCAAAAATATTTCGAAGCAGAATAAAATTATTTGGACAAAAAAATTATATTTTAAATGTTGGTATG